TAAAAATTAAAAAAATAAAAAACCATAAATCATAAATCATAAATCAAATAATAAAATAAAATAATAGAGATAAAAATAATAATAAAAGTACTTTGTTGTCACACTCCAAGCATCCTGGTGAGGAGGATGACGGAGCTGGGTGTGCTGAGTTAGGACTCTTTGGCCCATGGTTGCCCCTGCTGCCAGGGCCATGGTTGGAGGCCAAAGTGTAAGACGATGGGCTGCAGCCTCACTAGGTGCTTTGGGGAATCTCCTTGGCTGGGGATGAAACTTGCAGGGAGCTGGACAGAGGGGACCCTCAGCCAGGTCTCCTGGGTTCCCCCATCTGTGGGAGGCTCTCACCTGTGACCTGGGCCTCCGTGGTGAGATGCTTGGGCTCCTCCGTCCAGGGGGTGGCATGGACGGCCACGCTCCAGTCGCTCCACGTGCCGATGTCGTTGTCTTTGGCCGCCACCTGGATGATGTACTCCTTGCCAGCGTAAGCATCCGTGATGGTGTGTGATGTCCCATCTGACAGCTCGACCTGAGGGCAGTGGTGGGGAGGGGAGGGTGGTCAGAGGAACCCCCCCGGCACCACACGATCAGTGCGTTAACTTGGCTAGGTGGCGACAATGGCACTTTCTCAGCACTTTGAGAAGTGCTACAGGGGGTTTTTGGCAGAGGCATGATCCCAGAACAGGGATGCAAGGGGAGAATGCCATGAGCTCAGGACAAGGATGCAGAAGGAGAATGCTCCAGCTAAGCCAAAAGTCTTCTGGTGAGGCCCCCATCCTGCTCCCAGAGTTGCAGTATTGGAGCAGAGCAGCTTCCTCTAGAGGTCACCAGAAACTAGCAGATGTCTGGGCAGGCTCCACTCGGACATGTTAGGGTGGCCAAGAGCAGGACATCCCGGGCAGCGGCTGGGGTGTGCACACGCACTTTCTAGGTACCACTGCCAGTGCTGGGAGGAGGCTTCCCACCAAGCACACCTTTGGCCACCCTGCTCCTGGGCCTGCATCACCCCCACTTGGCTTGCATCCCTGTGGCTGGGCCCTTGGACAAGGAACAAGCTGTATCCAGCTGTCTTTCCTAGAAAAATTCCCTCTGTCCTGTTGTCACTGCTACCTGGACCACAGGAGATCCTGCCACTCTCCTGGGGACGCGGCTGCTGGTGCAATGGTTTAGCCCCAAACTGTGTCCACAACTTCTGGGGATCCCTGATCCACTTGGAGCTTGGCTCAAGCACAGGGAGATGCAGGG